TTCAATCACCAATAAGCTTTGTTAAGCTGTGATATTTGGTAAGTGGAGACTAACATTCTTGGTTTAAATAATGGCAATATCTGTATCCATAAGAACACAACAAAATTTGTAAATCACAGTAAAAGAAATCTCAGGAATGGTAAAAAATTGGTTTAGTTTTTTTTTTTTTTTTTTATAGTTCATTGAGGAAAAAAAATTGTTTCTTCCTCAATAAAGAATTCTTTTCCAAATAAATGAATGTTATCAGAGTTCAATGGAGAGACTCAGTTCTCTAATTTACCCCCCCCACACACTTTTTTTGGTAAAAGACAATATTTTCTTCCATTAAGAAATTCCTTGAAACAGTTCATCTTAAATACTGTTCAGAAAATCAATAAGGGTTTTGAATGTAAAGTCTGGGTTTACCTACAAAAAGGTGGATGAGACATGATAGGGAAACAATTAGAAAATTTGATGGGATTCAATTTCATTCTTTGTATTGTTTTTGAAGGGAATTAAGTAAAAGAAAAAGAAACTGTGCATTTGTGTGTAAAAAAAATCACTTATTCTGCATGTGCAATCATTAACAGCCTGCAAATTCACCATCTCAAAAGAACAAAATTTATGGTACAGCCTTTTTATAAAAGGTAGAGCACAAAGCCTAAAATAATGTAAATTGGTTAACATGTTGATTATGGTATCGGGAAAGTTTATTTGAAACTATTTCTCATTAAAATGTGAATTATTATATTAATACTGAAAGCTGCATGCAAGAATTGACCAACTCCAGTTTTTCATGGCTGAATTTTCTAACATTTTCATACTTGGTTCATTTATTATAAAGGCAAAACTTGTGCCACCATTAAATATAGATTGTAATTATTTTCATTGACCTGAAAGATATGTGCTAAGGATTACAGCAACATGAAAGGAGTTCATTTTTTGTATTTGAAGCACAATATTTAAGAGGGAACAGAGGAAAATTAGAGTGAGGAAACATTATAGATATTGATAGAAGAAAGGCAAAAAGGAATAAAAAGAAGGAGCAAGTTATTTAAGGTTAGTGTTGTGAGCAATATTATTGCTAGATGAATTCAGTCAGGGCACATGGAAGGAATGCATCACAGCCAATTAATTTATGCCATTTGTTTGCAAGGAAGTAAAAAGGATTCACCTAAAGGAAAAAAAATGTATGAGCATCAATCAATAATTAAGATTTTATAAACATACGAGGCTAAACTGAAAAAGATTCCCATAAATGTAATGAGATTTAACAGCATATAATAATTTAAAAAAAAAAAAAAAAAAAAAGGGCTTTATGTACTGAATATGTTTTAATTAAACTTGTTGATTACAAAATTTTCTTTGGATGTCATGTGATACCCTCCTGCTACTCAAGATATTTCAGAAAGGGACTTGTGTACTTTGTGTTTGCTGAGAGATGATTATTTGAACAAATTTGTTTGATAGCCATTCTGATAATAGAAGATATTAGAATTGATTTTGCTATATTTCTCACAAGTTTTTTTTTTCTTAGCTTAACCTTTTAACAGACTATATAAGATAAAAAAAATGATGCATTTAGTGGATAAATACAAATCTGCAAGTTTTGAATATTTCAGATTCTTTTGATAAAAAAAAAAAAAAAAAAAAAAAAAAAAAAAAGATTTGTTTTTTGAAAGGTTCAATTTTTATAAAAAAAAAAAAAAAAAAAAAAAAAAAAAAGCTGGTACATTTTAAAAGGTGTAGGATTCTTAGTCAATAAAATTGTTGATTTGTTTTTTATACAGGTTGAATACTGCTGATTTTACAAGTACATGAAGTTTACAAGTGGTAAGAAAAGTTGATCATTTGGCTATAATGTAAGCCAATATTTTAGTTATAGGAGCTAGTCATTCACACTCAATTAGTGTTCCATACCACCATCGTCATATCAATAAGTCAGTTCCTATTGCTTAATAGTCGTCAATTATAACACATGATTAATAACAAGAGTGTGTTGCTAGTTTGATTAGTATTATATAATTACTAATGTCTTTTGATGACACTGGCTTTTGCTGGTAAAGTCAATTATTCTTAAAGTAGACCATGATTTTTCTGTGAAAGGGAAATGGAATGGTCAGCAACCCTGGCCTGCCACAAAGAATTGGGTGTGTATCCAGTCATAATTTTTGAAGCACCACAAAGAATATTTAATTGATAGCTATTACCCACCCCACCTCAAAGAAAAGTTGTTGATGTACAAGCTTCAGTTCTTTGTTCAGGGAATGTAGATAAAATTTGTTTTTTTTTAATTTACAAAAACGTTTCACTTGTAACAGCAATATTTAATCAGTTTACAAAAACGCTTCCATGCAAGAAGCCTTAACAAAATGTAAATGACCCCCCCACCACCACAAAAAACAACCCATGTGACTTAATGCTACTAATATCACATTAGTTAAAAAGTAACCAACTTGCCTTAGATATGTATTGAACAAGTCTCTGAAATTGATAAACCTCCATTTAATACTTATTTTTAACATTGGAAACAAATTTAAAATAGAATAATTAACTTTCATTAACAGTTTTTTGTTAATATTCAGTTTGGCTATGAAATTTAATTAACTTGCAGCTGCATTTTTTGGCAGAATGGCAAGTCAAGATTAAAAACCAAAAATCTCAGAAAATATGTAAAGCTTAAACATAGAATCAAGTGTCTTAATAGAAAGAGGTTAATTCTCAAGAGAGAGATTGATTTCAACAATACGACTAAGATGCAACCTAAGATTGTGTGTGTGTGTATATATATATATATATATATATATATATATATATATATATATATATATATATATATATATATATATATAGATATGCTTTTATCCATGCATGGATAAAAGCATAAATTTGGAAAGAATTTTACCCAAACATGGGTATCAAGGAGGTAAAGAGAAAGAAAATTAATAACAAAAAGAGTTATCTCCTTTTTTCGGACACATCTGATGAAGATTAAAAGCTTACAAAGACAAACTAGAGAATTATAACCCAGGTAATTATCCCTCTCCTTAACTACAGTAATTAGCAAGAAAGGAACACATTTGAGTGAATGAGACACAAACCAAGAATTGGCATTAGAGATAGAAACTGGAGGAGGAGGAGGAAGAGGGGGGCTATATATGAGGTTACAATCTGTAATCGATCCAAAGGAGCTATCTAATTTTTATCTTGTTTGCTCATTTTCTCTGAAAAATCCAGATAGAACAAGTAAAAAAGATAAAAGAAAAAAGCTGTTCAAGGAAATAAATCTATTATTTCTGAATTAATATTTCACTTTTTTGTGGGGGGAGAGAGGGAGTATTATGTATACATTATATATAGTCTCTTCACTCCTTACCCTACAAGTAAGAGGAGAGTAAATAACATGATTCTTATAATCTTAGTTATCACTACAATTTATTTTTCATGTTTTTTCTAGAATCCATCTTGAGCCAACTGGAGACAGTAACAAGACACAGGCCATATTTTTTTGGAGGGTGGGGGGTAGGATTTTGAGAGGGAGAGGAACTAAATGGACATTGCTCTTTGCTGGCTTCATTTTTTTTTCCTCTTTCCATTTCTCCCTTCTTCATTTTATTTTTGACAAAGCAGGTAGCAACAACTGCAGCAACAACACTTGACTATTTCAATTTGAAAGAGGAAGCAGAGGGTGAACTGGATTTACCTTTCCACTGTTTGCTTGAAATGAAGTTGAAAAATAATGTCAGACAAAAAAAAAAAAAAAAACCCTTAAGAGAATGTTCTTGAAATATAAGCATGATTACATTGTTTTTGGAAAGAGTTTGTTTTAAATCTGCCTTGAGTGAAATCTTGTAGGCTACAGCAGGATTGGATTCTATATTTTTTCAACATCAAACTGCCTTCAAGTTTACCTTTTTTATCTTTATTAATTCAGCAGATAAAATTGTTATCAAAATTCTCACATAAATAATTTGATCTAATAAATATGATAATCAGTTTTTCTTTTCTCCTCACTTTGCAGGTTTTCATTGAAGTTTTACATTTGCATATACTTACAAAAATAAGACATTTTAGAAATTAAATAAAAACACAAACATTGAAAGCAAATTATATCGAAATAATTTCTATTTCATAACTTGATCATAGATTCATAAAATGGATTAACATCTTCATTTTTGTTAATACCCCACCTCTATTTCTGTATAAACCTTTAATACCCCTATTTCTGTATCCCCCTTCTTTAATAGCAAATAGAATTTGCTATTTTTATACATGTACAAAAAGGAACAAAATGACTTTATTACATGCAAAAGCTGAATTTGTTTTGATTCTATGAATAGAAATAAAAAGAAAAGAAAAAAAAACAACTTTGAACTAATGTTGATCAGAATAATCTAAAAGTTGGTTGCTGCAAACTAAATACTGTCATTGCTCATCTTAATGATGGAAGCAATAAAAATTGAAGGTAGTCTATTTGAGAGACAGAGAGAGAAGAGTAAAATAAGCAATTAATGGAAATAAAAAATAAAAAATTCCATACAGCTGTTAATGAAAAGAGGGCAGCATGTAGGGTCCCAATTTAAAACTAAATTTGAAGCAGCCATTCCTCCCATTTCCTTTTTGGAAAAAGTCAGAAAAATCACACACACACACAAAAAAAAAAAAAAAAAAATTGTACTGGTGTGTCTAAGTGTGTGTAAGTCAGAAATTTTATTTTCTGATTATTTTTTTACTCTTCAATTTTTTTTTTTTTTAAATCTTTAGTTTTTTTTTCTTACAAAATATGTGTGTGTGTGTGTGTGTGTGTGTGTGTGTGTGTGTGTGTGCTGATGTATGCATATATCTGCAATGTTCTTGATATCAGCAGGCATGTTGTAAGATTTGGTATCATTGGGTTTGGCTGAAAGTAATTTTCTGTCCCCTGTCCTCAATATCATATATTGTTAAGAGAAGTAGCCAGAGTAGTGGTAACATTGAAGAAAGAGGAGGCAGCAATAGTGGTGAAGAAACTGGAATCCTATTTACTGGTCATCACTGCTATTGTCCTTGTTGGCCTCAGCCTCTCGGCGTGCAGTCATCCGCTGCATTGTGGCATGTTGGGCTTGAAGAGTGGCCTGGATACTCTTGCGTACTTTGTCAGCTTTTCGAAATATGGTAATTTCCTGGAGAGAAAAAAAAAAAAAAAAAAAAATTATATATAAATACTTTTTCCTATTTACATCTAACGAACATGTTAGTCATTCAAAACAAAGTCTAATTCCAACTGGCCAATAACAATGGACATAAAATTAAAAAATGTAATCAAAATATCACAAAGCTGTAAACAAGAAAAAAAAGATTAGATTTCTTTTTAGTGTTTGAATAAAGGTGTGGCAAATTAATCAAATCACACACAGCATATTCTCAGCATACAATTGAAATCTAAGTAAATTATCGGAGAATTGGGATTTAAAAAAAAAAAAAAAATTTCTGGAAGAGATCAGAATACATACCTGCTGTTTGAAATACCTGCGTTCTTCCTCATCCACGAGAACTAAGTTAAGATAATAACGGACAGAGAATTTCTTATTGATGTCTCTCATAGTCGGAGTTAGGTCGTAACCACTTAAGAAGAGACGAATAGGTATAGATTCACCTAAAGCAAAAAAAAAAGAAAAGAAAAAAAGAAGCAAACAAAACATTGACAGTTATTCCTAAAAGCAATAAGTTGAAAATAAACTGTTAAACTTTGAAAGGAAGTTTATTTTAATTAATCAATTTGTGTAATAACCTCTTGAAATAAATGCTTGCAGATACAAGAAACTTTCAGGATGATATAAGAAAGTCAAAAGTAAATTTGGAAGAATCAAACAATGACTGATATCTTTTAGTTGAAGAAAAAAAGTCTTCTATTTTAACAGGACAGTGTAAAAAAGACAAGGCAAAATCAAATATCTACCTCTGACAGGAGCACCATCCATGATCTCATATTTCGCTATTGTTTCATTTTCAATATATGTATTTGGACCTGAAAGAGAAACATTTTTCCAATATTTACTTGAAGCAGGGATAAGTAAATTCTGCTGCCATAATTATCGATCCTATTTTTTTTATCTCTTCTTACAAATAGAAATCTGACATCAGAGCTGAAGGGAGCAAACAGATTTATCATTTGCAGAAAGAATATTGGTTGGAATCAATTTTTGAGTGTAGAGAAAGATTTTAAAAATTTTCTGTACTAATTCATTATAAGAATGACATATTAAAATAAGATTTATTTGATTAAAACATATTAGTTTTCTTATGAAAGAGAAATTAATCACTAAAAACATAAGGCAATACAATTTTTAGGATAGGTTAACACAAATAGAAGAAATCTAAATCAAAATATGCAGCATGTAAAGAATTAATCCTAGTTTATTTTGGATAATGTTACTCAAACTTGATTTTCTAGTTGAGAATGGAAACAAATAATTTTCTTGTGCTTTGTATTCCAGCAGAAATATCTGTTCAAAGTAAAAATCTGCATTAAAAGGAAGAAACATTTTAAATCATCTAGTGATTTTAGATGAAATTTTTAATATTTGTCAGCATTTTAAGTCTTTCCAATCAACACTAAAATCAAATAAATACACAAATTTGATTAATATTTGGACACACCACTTGATTCCAAGGGATTTTTTTTTTTTTTTCACACACAAAATGCTTGGCAAAAATAATTAAATCAATCATCACACTTAGAACATTTTCTAAGTGTGGTGATTTCACCCCCCCCTCATTATAGATCAGCAGATCAACAAATCACAAATATGGCAAAACAATTTTTAATTACTAGCTGAACATTCCAGATTCATTAAACATAACCTCAAACAGATTATTTAAATTAATGTCACTTTCAGATTAAGTACAAAAATATGTAATCACCTTGTAAATACTTAAAATCAAATATCAGCCCACATGTAAACATGCAAAGTAATTAGCAAGTAAGAGGGCTTGCAGACTTTAATAAACTGTTGGACTTGGTGAATTTAAAGAAAATATGGCTCCAACAAGAGAGTTGTCTTGAAACAAAGGAAAGGATTCAAAAACACTTTTCATAAGGAAATCCAACACAGTGTTCCAAAAGATGTTGGTTGTTCTTAGTCAGCTATCTAAAATTTAGGAGGGTTATAAAAAAAAGAAAGGAAAGTATACAAGCAGATCATTGAAGACATCAAAAGTCAAAGCAGCATGAATTGAAAATAGAAAAGGCATAACGAATGAAAATCAAAATGGGCAGCAGCAATCCTAGTGAGATTGGCAGAATGAAATGGGACTTATATAGACAAAAGCCAAATGAAAACCACAGGACTAACACCTCAAGAGAAGAAAACAAGGCCATTGAGAAGCAATTATGGAGTGTGAATGATTGGATGAAAGTGATATTCAGTGATGAATCATCTGCCTTAATTGAGGTGATAATGCCATACTTTTTGTCTGGTATGATACTTATAAAACAAAGATGCTTGTCTGAAGTAAACAAACTTATTTATCATATAAAATTGCTTGTCATGTAAAGAAACAAAAAACAGCACACATCACCTAAACAGTCAAGACAACTGTACATTAATATTTTGGATGCTTTTCTCATTTCATCAATAGGAAATAGGATAATAATTCATCTTGTGATAGAGACAAGTGTGTTACACCTTTTCTTTGGTATAGACATATTAACTCAATTACATCACAAGTAAACACAAAAATTAGAGTGGAAATTTAAAAATTTATCCATCCTGCAAAGCCGATTTGTCAACTGCTATCTGAAAAAGTTTGAACCAGCTTGATGTAAAATATTTTTTCATTTGTGAAAAAGTATTTCAACTTATGAAAAAAGCCTATAAAGAGTAACAAAGTTCTGTAATTTTTTGGATGATGATAATTCCATAATTTTGCAAAATTAAGTGATGCCTGATTTTTCTTTCTTTATTATTCCACTATTTAAAATTGCATTTGAGATGTGTTTTACAATGCTGGAAAGCTCAGCTGTTAAAATTTGTTTTGTGTTGTATCTGATTTGTTTATTTGCTATGAAGTAAAAAAGGCTGGATGACCATCCAGTGGGCAGTGAAGCAATGATTTTGGCAATGAATTGTTGTATATTTAAAAGCATTTACTTTAGGAACATTAGTTTGTAGATATCACAAATTGTTTATTATCTGTTATTCTAGAATAAGAAAACAAATTTTTCACACATACACACAAATACCTAGCCACCAAATTTTTGTCGACCCAGACAGCTCTATTAACGACAATTTTTTCAGTGTTTATTTTTGCATCAAAACCATTTTCAGTATCAAGTTCATTTACTGCTACATCATCTTTTAGATAAATATTTGTTGATGTTATTCAGGTTATTAAATAGCTGTGATGAAACATTTTAATTCATCTGTACACAAAAAGTTTAATAATAATGATATGGATGCAGTAAAAGGTCTGTGCTTCAAGTATGATCATGTCATTTATTTAGAAATTGCTTCATCATAGCAAAGAGTCTCTGGTAGTTCCATCTCCCAGTAGAGAGGAAGAGGCAATATGTCTGTGCATATGCTATGGCACAGAGCCAGGAGGATAAGGTTATTAGCTTCAAGTAAATGATTCAGTAACACTTTATGCAGTATAAATCTTAGATACTTAGCAAATAAATGTTCTTATATTGGTCAACACAAAAGGTATGTGTTCTAAACAAAAAGATATATTCATTTTTATTCTTTAAAAGTCATTAAAATATTTCAATGTGAGAAAGAGAGGAGGGGAAGAAAAGCTTTTATATTGTTGCACCTGTTCCTGTTGTTTCTCTCTTGATGATTTGAATTTCCATATGCTTGATTTTTATTCGAACCAGTAGGAAGTAGATTTTTCCGACTATCACATCTTTCAAATGATACCTGAAACAAAAAGAAGCAAAACTCAACTTGGTGGACAGAATTTTTTCTTACAAGTTGTAACACTAGCTGTTCAAAATTGAAAGCTCTCTGATTAGTGGCACTTGCATGGAGGGTGGAATTGGCAGGGTGAATTGGAAAGGGATGGGAGTGGGAAAAGAAATTAGTCTCAAACAAGATTTTTTTTTTTTTTCTTGGCTGTTGCTATGTTGAATTGATACTATTTTTATGTACAAGAATTCCCTCATTCAAGGCTAAGCAAATTGTTTTTATTCTGTTCTATTTATGGGCAACAGCTATATCTGCTGTAGTTTCTCAAAAAGGTAAGAGAATTTAAAAAAAAAATTTATTTTATTTTACCATTTAAACCAAAAGCTATTTTGATGAACAAGAAAGAGAGACAATATTGAGGAAGATTAAAATAAGCAGTAAAATGAGGGTGACATGGTTTTATTGGTGTTAAAAAAAATGAAAAGAAAAAAAAAAGATGCTAGTGGTGAACCTGCAAGGATTTCCTATGTTGCCAACTTCATGTTATTTGGAAGGAGACACTTGGCATGTTCCTTAGAAATGAGCAAGTAGAACAAATTAGATACTGGGCTAAATATGTGAAGATCAGTTAAAGTATGTGATCCATAAAGAGGCTGTTTTGTAGCAGGATAAAAAGCATAAAGTGAAAATTTACACAAATGAGATTAGAAGGTTAGCAGGATAAGATTGATTTGCAGAAAACAGGTTAGAAAAGATGAACTCATGTTTGTAACTGGTTCTCCTGATCATATTTTGGTGGGGCTGCAGCAACCATAGGCATGAGAGATTTGAAGAAGAGGGATAAGGTGCTGGCCCAATATCTTGTGGCAGTGGCCTGTATGGTACAAGGATAAGGAAGGCAACCTGTTGCAGGTAGCAAGGAACTGAAGGGAAGAAAGTAGCAGGTGCAAATGCTCAAAAGATGGTTTCAGTTGTTGGGGACTGTACATGGTTAAGGGGTGCATGGAAGAAGTAGGCGTGAGATATAACAGGTTGGGAAAGACAAAAGACCATAACCTCAAATGTGCAGAATGTTTTTGTTTTTTTTTTGTTTTTTTTTTAATTATTTGGACATTGCCAGAGTTATATTGGTGCTATTTGAATCTAAACTAAGAAAATTGTTCTTGTGGGCGCATGCCTGATCTGCTCGCATTTCTTGACACAATAAGAGACTTATTTTTTGCTTTAAATTTCATCATTTACACCACAAAAGCTCTTTCAATTCCCACACTTCAATTACAAACATCATCAGTTTTCAAAAGATAAACATGAAACCATTTACATGGTTAAGTGTTAAAACAACTATAAAAGAAAAAAGAGAATAAAATTTTATAAAGAAACTTTAAAATGATTGACTACAACCCATGCCCTAACCTATATATAAAAAAGATAGAATTGTTATTTAAGTCATAAAAAGACATGAAATATATATTTGTGTATGTATTTCCATTGCCAATCTATGCTGGGAATTGTACAAATGCCAAAACAGCTTCATTATGACTAACACATAGGATTTCACTAGAGTGTATCTAAGGTCAAAAGAAAAAATGTAGTGAAAATTATAGTCTTCACCATAAAAAAGTGGTGAAAACACTATTAAAAATAATTTTCATACACCAATTTCTTTTGAGCTGGTGTCTCATCTTGCTTGCTATAGTCAGATATCTTTGCTGCATTTAGGAAGCTGTTATATTAGATAACTTTCTGAGAATTTTGAACCAAACTCTTCATGCAGTCATTGGGTGGAGATTGTTATGCCACTGCTCATGTTAGAAGAGATGGCTGATATTGCTTAATTCTTTTATTTTTTTCATTTTTTTTTCCTTGTGATGCTGCATCTGTTTGCTTAACTCACAAACAGATAAATTGCCTACAATTAACTAACATCACATAGTTTGTGAAATTTTACAGTTTTGAACCTAATATCTGTTCTTTCCTGAACAAAAGTTTGCATATGCTGTTCAATTCTATGCTTTGCCAACCAAGATTATTAGAGACTAGGATTTGTGTTGATTCTTTCAATCACCTTGTTTTACTTTTAAAGGATATCTAGTCTTGTTTTTAAAATGCATACACATAATCTTTGAACACGTTCTTAGCTAACAGAGGCCTGGCTCTGGTCAGCTGTAGGGTGACATTGCTTTTGAATTGGGTCAATGATAGAGTCTGGCAAAATTAAATATAGGACAGATGAAGACCAGCATCCATCTTCCCATAATTTTAGCCTTGTGACATATATGGTGTAATTTTATCATCAACGAATATTATTGCTTTTCAATACTGTCCCAATGAAGTTAGAATAGATAGTTCCTCAGAGTCCTTTCTGACACACACACACTACTGATGTAAAGTTAACAGATTGTGGTAGTTTTCCAACTGTTACCATTCACTCGTGTACATTTGCTTATGGAAACCCACATTTTTAACATTTTTATTGTAGGGTAATTGTTACTCCAAAGCATGTTCCCAATAATGATCATACTGTCTAAGAAGAAAATAAAAAGGAATCTGGCTTTATTTTGCAATCAATGGATAATCCATTTCTTCAAATTGTATGGATAGTTGGAAGTGAAATTCAGATATTATCTTGTAAATGTTTATTAATGATATCATGAATCTCTGCTGTGTGTGAGTTATTAGTTCATCCAGGAGAACCAGTTTAACATATTCCTTTTTTTTATCATGAACTGTGTATTGAAAATCTTAAGTTCACATGATCCACAAGATGATGTCATTCACTCAACCATATTGTTGGCTTCAAAGGTGTCATTCTCAAAGTCATTTCCATGTAAATATTTATCTCATATTGTATCAATGTCAATCTCATAGACATCTCATCTTCTTGCTGATATGTGTCAGAGCCCAATTAGAAATATGTTGTTGGTATACAAAATATCAATATCTTTATTAGGTTGTCTATCAAGATATGATATGTTGCTCCAAAGGAGGGTCAGATTCTAATTTAAATTTAACTAAAGATAAAGCCTCATCTCTTGATCCTTGGTAAACAGACTCAAAGCATTCAGACTCCCCATCTGGCTGGAATAAATGAGAACATCTTTGTGTCTCTAAAGTGGAAAGATTTTTTTTTTTTTTTATTATACACACAGACATTCCTGTCTGTAAGTTGATTAAATCTGTAAGGATGCCAAGATGAGTTCCCTGCAGTTGACTATATAGGCCTTAGTGGAATACCAACTTTGTGAATTTGAGGGAATGACTGTAAACATAGGTAGTAGTTTACTGTATTACTGATGCAATTGTTCATATTCAGTGTAAGTGACACAATCCCTGTTCAGGATTTGTGAGAGAGTGTCCTCTGAGTTTTCAAGATTGGATCATTCTTTAATGGGATAGAAAAGCAAAATTAACTGGCTACCAAAAGTAAGTTTAAAAGAACATATAGTTCATCAAGAGACTCTAAAGTTATGTGTATTTCTGTGAACATGTGATGAAAAGGTAGCTGATGATGTTGGAGTCACCAACCCCTATGAAGTGAAGTTAGAATAGATAGTTCCAAAATGAAACCAGTTGATTGTCCTATGAGAGAAAAGTGGATTTACACATTAAGTGTAGGTAATTTATCTGGTGGTTATGAGTTCAATCCCTGGGTCCTGTAGTGAAATCCATATAAACTGGTTCAAAGAAAATTCTATGACCAAACATGACAGGAAACTGAAGAGTGGGTAGTACAACAGGTTAAAAATCATTGTGACTAAAACCACCAAGAGAACACACCAGAGTATGTAATAATGATAATTCCTCATCCCAGAAATCACTATGAAAACCAGTTTCAACTATAGCAATTAAGAGTTAAAAATGAAATTAATTTTGTGTTTGTTGAATAGAGATGCTGGTAGTTTCAATATAAGATAAATAGAAATAAAATTCTATGATTACTTAACATGAAAACCAACACCAAAACCTATGTACAACCACAAAGGGTTTTTAGATAATTTTAACTTTGATGAATATTAAATGTTAATTAATATGTAGAAGAAAAAATGTCCAGGCAATGATCCAAGAATTTGAATTACATTTATTACAATTAATAAACAATATAAAACCTCTTCATAATAATTATCTAATTTCAATAATAATAAAAAAAAATCCAGATTCATTTGAGTAAGCAATCAATGTAGAGTGTAATTGAATGTAAATAACATTGTATTGATATGAATAAAATTCAAATTTGAATCAATTTAAATAAAAATTAGTTGTCAGTCTTGAAAATATGAGAATCAATTTCAAATTGACTACCATCCAGATGACCAAAGTTGCTTTAAATTTATACGAGTCATGGATGATGTGGATTTTAAAATCCAGTTTCCATGAACAGAAAATAGAAAACAGAAAATGCAGGTTACTGATAAAAGGGACTCAACTGGTGAAAATTATTTATCATGAAACCCTGGACTATGTCTTTTTACAAATGTTAAGCACTTTAATAGACAAGAGAAACTTACTTGGATTTGTTATATTCAAATTCTATATGCAAACAATCTTCTATGCCAACTTCCATCTTAATGCTGTTGTTCATATCTGGATATTGTGACAAGGTATGTACAATGATGTCTTGCTCTTTCACTACATCGGTGATTCTTTTCACTATAGTAACACGTAGAAAATATCTGAAAATGCAAAACCATTGTTACAATTAAACACATTAAAAGTAACTACCAATACCTATCATCCAACATTTTTAAAAATTTATTTGATAAAGTTAACAATTTAAATGTGCAGAATAATCCAAGATCTTTTTTCTGTGGGGAAAAAAGTCAAAACATAAAAATAAAGTTAAATGTGGGACATTTCTATCTGAATTGATCTTGGAATTTTATTTATAAAATTTCAGATATATCCAAAATTGAAAGTTTCAAATTTAAAAATAGTTAAATATGCAATAAATTAGGTTTTCTTGTATTGATTAGATTGTAAGCACAGAGCAAACAAGAACCACCACCACAATGAGGTTTAATCAATGCTCCTCAATCATTTGGATTTCTCTCATTTTTCCAATGCCTCTGCTCTCATCCTGTGCAGTACGTCTTTTTGCTTGTTGACCTTCCTTCCACTAGTCTTTGTTTACAACATGCTTGTTAAAGCTGTATGCCGCTATTGTTTCTAGATCCTAACATGAAAACAAGTGGGAGACCATATAATTCTGAAGTCTTCTGCAAATTCCTTAAGTTGATTTATTTGCACAATAAAGTGATGCCATTATCCATTGTGCTGCGAGTTTGCCAGTGACACATTAAATGCCCAGTAGCAAGGCTACAAAAAGAGCGGGGCTGTGTGAGAAGATACATTACCAACATTTTTCATTTAAACATCAAAAGATTTATTACCAGAACAATCGTGTTGAGATGAATGTGCTTTTTTTTTCTTTTTTAAGCCATAACTCGCATCTTATTCTACACAATTCTTTGCAGCATGAAAGGTGTTCATTGTTTCTTAAGTAGTCTTATGTTGGCTAAGCATAATGGAGATACAGTTCTTACAAATCTGGCATCTTCAACAAACATTCATTGATTTGATACAAGTTCAATTTATGCTGGTAATTAGCTTTGCCAGAGTAAAATACATGCATGGAAGGGGACCTGAGCTTCATTGGCCTGTGCTTTTGAATTTATAGAAACCAGTGGTCAATCACTGACCTATAGCACATTCCTGGTTTTTAACCACTTTTCTGAGAGACCCACACAAAATAAGTATAAATATATATATATATATATATATATATATATATATATATATATAAAACATTTATTCAAATAGCTTGATAGAGAGAAATGATGGACATTACTTGATCTTATTGGATTAAACTGGTAGATAGCAAAAGTTAATTCAATGTTTGAATTTCCAGCTCTCACTGTGTTAATTATTTAATTTCTCAAACAACATCATAAAGTTGGGTAATGATCTGCAAGGCTAGTTTGGTTGACCATTATTACTGAATAGTGACTTCTATTTTCACTAGATTCACTATATTTGTGGCTTTGTGTTAAACTAAGCTAAGTTTAGTAAATAAAATAAAAAATAGCAAAGGAAAGTGTTCCCCACCACCAATCAAAATATAGTAAGCAACCTATTAAACATACTGTCAATGTTTTTTTTTTTTTTTTTTTCAACAGTTGAGAAAAATATACTGTGTATAGTCAGTCAAAGACTATAATTTGATGTCTACTACAAATCCTCATTTTGTAAAATAAACCCTTGAGAAAAGTATGAAGTAAAATTTGTCAGTATTCTGCTAGGGGTCCTGGCAAAGATGAGAATAGGTGTGCAAACTCCATTTGTTACTTTATGTACTAGAATCAATCTCCTAAAAGGAAAGTGTATGATAAAGTGTAACCAAAATGAATATAGAATAAATATTCACGAGAATTACCTTTCTGAAAACATGACAATGCTAGTGATGAGAAAATAGGGAAAAAAAAAAAAAAAAAAAAAAACACACACGAAGAGTCATTAAAAGAGTTGGCATACCTTAACCTAACATTGACTCCTGTGTAAGATTCATAAGGTTTCTCCACTTGCAGAAACTCAAAATTATAGCTGGTGCTCTGTGTGAGGATACCAGGTCGAGCCAGTTCCTTGACCAAAGATGTGAACTCATGGTGATTACCACGGTCATAATATAATTCTAGAAAACAAGAAAAAGAAGAATTAACAAAATGATCCTATTGACGTTTAAGAAGATTTAATGGGCAATATAATGACATCTAAAATTCTACAGTGCTCAGTAACCGACATACAATAACTGTATGTCAATATGAAAAATCATAAATGAATGAATGTATAATTTAATATGGAAATGAAATTAATAGATAGAAGAGATAAAAGGACATTGGAGAATGTCAGAAGTTATTGAAGACTTTCATGGATACAACAAAAAATAATGTTCTTTCGGGTTCATTAATGACATCTAATTGAACCAAAAGTATAAATCGCATCAATTAATCTATTACTCTGTGACCAAGATACAGAAATGTCTTCTTGCTGTAGACAAATGAGAAAAGACAAAATGTAAATCTTCAGATTATCGCAAGTTTTAATTTTTCTGCATAAAAATAATGATGTTGGCCTTAATTAGAGACTGAGTACTTGGGATTATTTCTCCAGTATTTATTCCACAAATCATCCTATGAAAAGGTGAGGTTAATTAAAAATTCATAAATAGCTCACTTGATGAATGTATGAAATACACGGAATTTGAAAGGTTGCTTACCTATTTGACCTATGAACTCTATTTTGATTCCCTGATGTTCCAGTTTGTTTCCACTCTTCTTTAGGGTTACATTCACCTGATTTGGAGAGGTAGAAAAATGGTGCAATTAATTCAAGTAATAAGTATTCTATATGCAATCAAAAGTGGTTAATGCCCAAAATTAACAAGATATCTAAAATAAGTGGTCTTAATTTGATAAAATTCATCCAGACAAGTTACATAATCTTGGTTGCTGTAGTTATTGAACATGATAATGGTCTTCAAGTGCATTGTATTTGGCAGCCTTGTTGAAATTTTAAACTAAATCTTTAGAGTGTTTTCAAATTAATGTCCATAATATGTAATTTTCAACAGAACCCTGATTGTGTGCTTTTCTAATCAAAGGTTTCCATATTGTAATGTATTGATAGCAGTAGGGTCGAGTGGTCTGTCACTAGTTTTAGGCACCAATTTCTACAGATTCTAATTTGGCCATTCTTTTTCTGCAGATAGTATGGGTGCACATCAATCTTTTGCTTCAGTAATTCTTTTTATTATGTCAGTCTTTTTTGCCTCCATTTCATTTGTTTTTTTACCTCCCCCAATAATGATATAGACATCCCATGTACTGTAACAAAGCAGTAAGGGTTTGGTCTAATCTTTCCATACAATTTTGACTGGTTTGCATTGAAAAGGTTTATCATGACTCAAAAACACGTGTATTTTTTTTTTTTTTTTTTTTAATTATGTCTCCTCCACACTTTGCACTACCCCAAAACAACAAGCCACACTCTTAGATTGTATCTGTGTCTACAATATATATTTTTTAACAAAATTACGGATATGAGAAAAATCATCTATAGCACTTCATAACACACACTGAAGACATGAGTTTAGCTGTCATTCGTCTAAAGATTTTTTTTTTTCCGTATTGTTTTCATGTGACATTAATGCTAATGTCAATTTTAAATTGACACTTGCACCCACAAATTTTCAGTTTAGTATGCCATGGTGGTTCATTAGTCAGAATGAAACCAAGGAAACATACCTCCTCCTTGTCTATGTTAACTATTTTCCTTCTGCAACCAACAATAGAAAAATGGTTCCACTTACTTCAGTTATGGAGTATTTCCCATTTGGTAGAACCATTTGCTGTCATATATATATATATATATATATATATATATATATATATATATTAGAAAAAAAAAGTGCTTCATATAGTTTATAAAATAGAGTAAATAAGCTGGTCAATAAAACAATGTCAAACGAAAGTGTACTGATGTAATCAGTACGAGAAACATTTATTGACATTAACCAATATTAAGCATGTGACAAAAATGAAGCACGGAGATTTAGGTTCCAAGTTCGGAATTTTTAAACACGCCTGTGTTCTTCATCAGTGGATGCGAGAAATAAATAGAGGGATGGTGGAGGCTATCCAACATTAGTTTTTGAGGTTGGGTAGAGACTGGTTTGATGTGGAATTATTAGGAAAAATATGCTGTTTGATTTCTTCTTGTACAAAACTTCCTAAAAATAACCTGAGATTTACAAATTGTAATTGGGTCGGTGGAAGGGGAGCGAGGTGTTGAAATGTACATACATACCCCACCCCCCACCAAGCAATACCTAAGTTTTAAAATGCATTTTAAAAATGAAAAATCTTTATTGAAGCTTTTATTTTATTTTTAATTGCAAACTAATAGATTAAATTTAATATTTCCAATAAGCAAAACACTGTTGTATTACAAACTGAATTTAAATTGATTGGAATTATTTGATTTTAAAATTAACAGTAAAATTGTCCGTATTGACAAGTCTGTTCAGCACAACATAATTCTTTTATAAAAATCTTTAAAAAGATAAAAATTAACCAATTTAAAGTTTAATTAATCTGAATTAAAATAAATATTACTTTTAGTTTTAAAAGTTTGAGGCATTTTCAATATGGAGGTGTTTTTTTTTTTTTTTTATAAAACATTTATCAACAACCTGATGATTGGGAAATTTAAGGAGGAGAAAATTGTCATAAAATTACATGACAGATTACAAAGTAAAAGGTAAATTTGCTTTTTAACACCCATGCTAAATATCTCTTAAAATTTTCCTAAATTGTCATAATTCCGTGTAAATGTACATGCTGAACTCGAAGTAACAATTACGAAGAAACCTCCCGTTTTGAAGTTATCGACAAAAAAAAAAAAAAAAAAAAAAAAGACGTCTTGTTGGTCTTTCGTCCGCCATTATGGGCTTATTTAGAAGTAATTCAGTGCGGAACACTTTGCACCGCCATAAAATTTGGCCTGTTTACTTCCTTTACAGAATTTCCTTGCAGAAATCAATACGCACTTCCATAATGTGATGTATTTTTTTTTCTCGGAATTACTAACCAGAAGAAAGTTAACTTTCAGATATATGAAAATATTGACAAATTAAAAAATAAAGTAATTTTTTCTTTTGGATCAGTGTAGTTTTACTTAATTTTTTTTCTCTCGCAAAGTTAGCACAAACTTTGAAAAGAGCATGATTATTTACAAAATAAAAAGAAATACTCCATCCTAGCATTTATCTTGTAGATAATCATGCTCTTTACAAAATTACTTTGTTATTTTTTAATTTATATTTAATAATATGGAGGTCCATAAAAATATACTAGCAGCATTGCCTGTGCTTGATTCAAAAATTGTACGACTCATACAGCAATCACTATCACTTGACTTAAAATATTTTTGCTCTTCCTTGCCTTTAAAGGAGTGCCCTTTGCCGTGCTGATGTTGCTACATGCCTTACTTCTTGCCTATCTCACACTGCAAATTTTTTCTAAGCTCTATACTAAACATTAAATCTGTTACGAAAAGAGAACTAAACAAAATGAACACAAAATGATCAGCTTTAAAAAAGGACTCGTAACTGGAAAAACCAAATGAAAAAAGAATGTTAAATACTTTTTCACACCCAACCCAGTTCTGCAGAATCAATGTTGAGTTTAAGCAAGCGAATGAGCCAATTGGAGTAAAGTGCCATACAGATTTAAATTTTTCCCACTTGTGACGAATGCAGCTATTGATTTTTTTTGCATGCTAGTTAACATTCGTGTCAGTCAGCTGTTGGTTCTCACGCTGACCAATAGAATCTACCTGCCTATTCGTGGCAGCCAGTTATAGGCTCTCACTCTGGCTACTACAAAATGGCCGCAAACTACATGAAAACTGCCGTAGAAGCACGAAAAAAAAAATCAATTATTTCCACTATCGATGGGAGTTGGGAAATGCAAAGTCGGTCTTGGCCTTCCCGCTTCCCTTTCCTCCTATTAGAATAGTAAATACAATAACAATATCACTTGACCACTACAAATTAATACTGAATTTTAAAAGATTTAAAAGTTTATAAATTTTAATAAGACAATAGTGTCAATAATATTTTATTCATAAAAGCAATTAAAAGCTTTTTTAATTGAATGATGTTGTTTTATTGCATTTTTGTTTTGCAATTCAGAGTATATTTTCTTTAACTTTCTGACCACCAAAATATTGATGATTAAATTCTTGTAGGACTTGTTCTTATAGCTAATACAAATATTAAGCGCTACAAAAGTGATTTTCTCAAAATTTACTAAAATTAAGGGTAACAGATGTAAACAAACAAAAAAAAACAAAACAAAACACCCCCTCCCAAAAAAAAAAGATTTAAAAATAACTTAATCCCTTTATGAATAAGTCTTGAAAGTTTAATCAATTATCTGATTTTTGCAAGAATTTTCAAATCAATGCATTTTTTTGCCACAAAAAGACATTCAAATTTCCTGTACTAATTTATGGTTTAAAACACCAGAAAAAAAAAGAAAGAAAAAGATTTTAAACCAAAATTTTGAAGGTTCTAAAAAAAAAAAAAAAAAAAAAAAAAAAAAAAAAAAAAAAAAAAAAGATTTTTTTTTTTTTTTTTTACATAAAACATCCTTTCACCTTTCCACTTAATGAAAAAACATTTTTACAATTAAATTTTATTTTAAGTTTTGGGCATGTCTGCTCATTTGTTAGCAACATCTTTGGAGGTACATGTGTGCATGTATATAATATCGTTGAATGGTTTCTTTTGAGTCAAGTCCCTCATAGATGTTGGAAGTGCAATGTATTTGCTTTGTTTCATCACCCATAAATGAAATATAAGCATTAACCTTAACCTCAACATTTTCATTATTTAATTTATAAGTTCACCTATTATCTTGTTCACACTGCTCCCCAGTCTTTTGAACAGTAGTAGAGCTTTATCCCTGGTTTCCTGTTTAAAATTGGGTTTCCAGTTCCTTTTAAAGTCTGTTCACTCCCCTTGCATCTTATTGGCATTATTTTTATTGCTTTGGGTAAGCTGATTAAAAAAAAATTGGAGATAATCCAATATCAAAGAAAATTTAATCTCCATTAATGATGTGATTCTAACTTTGAAAACTCAAAATCTGTTGCTGGTTTAAATGCACAACTAACTTAGACAAATAATAAAGAGACTGGGCTGAATTGGTAACAATGAAATCAACTGATAATTGATTTTTATTTCCAACCAAGCATCATACATTTATAATGTATATTGGTATCAGCAAAGAGTGGATAGTAATGGTAGACCATTGTAACTAATTACCAATGCCCATTTTTACACAAAGTACATAGTTTTGAGTATTGTTCTGAGATTGTATGAACTGTAGATTCTATTAATAATTTCCAACATGCTTCTGATGTAGAGAGACAGATTTTTTTTTTTTTAATATCTGTTAGTAGAAGTTGAACTTTTATTTGAAGGAGAGTAGTTCTGCTAAAGCTGTTCCTGTTGGTGTGTACTTTGCTTACCATTTATGAATTCAATCTTTTCTTCATACTGGTGGGCAAGGGCTGTTCAGTGAATGTTGGATAATGATATACAAACATTTTAAACTGATGTTCTGTACAAATTAGTAACATTCGGGAAAATCATCTTATTGCAATGATAATTCCTCATTTGAAAACTGCGAACGATTCATTTTGGCTTTCCAGTCAGATTAGCATGCTCATCTTGGTTGTTATATTCACTTACAACCCTTACACCTTCTGAATTTTTGATTTTTGAAAGTTGCTTGAACGGAATATAATAATGATAATTCCTCATCTCAAAAATTCCAGCATTCAAGTTGTTCTTATATACATCTGGTTACATTTTTTAAAAAATATTATTTTCATAAATAAACATAAAAAAAATGTATTTTTAACTATTAGTTCTCCCCGATTGCCACTGAGAGTTAACCAGCAGCAGCTGCTCATTACTTGAAAAAGTGTAGGTCAAATTTTTCAGTAACATGATTTTTTTGTTTTAATTATTCAAACTGAGAAAAAAAAAAAAAAAAAAAAAAAAAAAAAACAAAAACAAAGAAACCTTTCTGGGAAGAAAATTAGGATTATTTTGAGTTAAAGTTTTCAGTTTATTCACTTTAGAACAACATTAACAAAACAAATTAATCTGTGTCTCATTTGTGTCTAATTCTTACTTTCACATCCACCAATAATTTTTTTTCTCTTTGGAGGGGTAGTTTATGATATGGGGGATGAATTACAAAAGTAGATATGAACTTAAAAGTAAGAAAATGCTCACATGCAAATTCTTATACAAGTGGAAATTATATTATGAGAAAGTGTTAATGCAAACATAATATGCTAAATCAATTTGAAAACAAATTTTCCTTCAATTTACTAATTGATAGAACTTTATATTGAAGTCATGGTTTTTAAGCAAGTTTTAAAGAGAAATATTAGTCTACAAAGCCAGAAAGATGTTATAGTGACAAAAGTATACCCAGAACTAAAACGAGACATTGGCTTGAATAAATCCCAAAAGGCTAAACTAAAGAAAGAAATCAAAAGAAGTAAATTCAATAACTTTTACGTTGCTAACTTACCTTACCGGATACCGTCTCACCATCATAGTAAAGGAAATGTCTTTCTTTTTTACCATCTTCAGTCTTAATTTCAGCAGTTTTTCTGCTTTCTTGGCCATCTAAGACAATATCAATTTCAGCACTCTGGCCAAACCCTAAAAAACTCTGCAAAATAAAAAAGAAGCATTTTGAAATGATTAATCAATATGGAAATAAAAGAAATTTGCTTTTTTGGTTTGGTTTATATATATATATATATATATATATATATATATATATATATATATATATATATATATATATAAAAAAAAAATAGAGAGAAAACTAACACTTATTTTTTAGGGTGTGCTGAAAAGTTCTTATCAAGAAACACTTAACAAAAAAAATTTGATGTTTGTCATGTGGGCTGAACCAAAGACTTCAGTTTGACTCTTGAACCATAAAGGAAAATAAGCTGTCACCACTGCCACCTCTTCTACTACTAAGGACAATAGATGCCGTTTGAACAGGCAGTGTAGCAACTGTAAGATTGATGCAGTCTCTTAACTTCAGAATGTGTATAATAAAAAGTTTTTATTCCACAAAAAGAACAGCTTCAGATCAACATTTCCAATCATGCATTGATGAACATTTTTGGCTGTCAATGTAAATGAAAACAATAGAGATTTTGTATATTCTTTGATCAAGTGAAACTTGATTTTTAAGGAACTTTATTTCTAACATCTGAAAAGATTTGTCCAACAGGTATGATTCAGACAGAATGAAAGAATAGCTTTTTAGTAAAGAACTTATCAATGTTACAGGACTTTCCCACTTGAGTTTTACAAACAGAAAAAAGTCACTACTAAGAACATACTAGTCTCACCAGTGATCTATCTTTATGTCCAGATTCCCCTTATTGTGTCCAGCATTTCAGTTTTTCTGACTGCCTTGACAATGATTATGATGTCCACAAGTAGCATAACGTTTGCATCCCAAAACAGAGTTACCATCAATTTCCTTGCTAAATTCGGAACTTTGAATTATTTTTTTTTGTGTGTGGAATGCCAGTAATGATGGATGTTTCCAGGCCATAGAATCAACTTATCTTTGTCTCTGGAGCAATTTGATGCACCCAGGTTTCATCACCAGGAATCATATTCCAGGTCTCCATCAATACCTCTATACTGTTGTTTTGCACTTACAGCTTCCACAATGTTTTAATTCCAGTTAATTTATGCCCTAACTTTTTGGATATTCCGCTTAAATTAAGAACAAAGTCACATATTGCAACCAGTAGAATATGTCACGATTGGTGTTATGAAAACATTCTAATATCATTACTAACCCTGAACATCTACCTAAGATAATTTTAGTTAAAAAAAAAAAAAAAAAAAAAAAAACACACACAAAAAAAAATAACCAGGAATGAATATAATTGACCTGACCTTTTGATTTTCCCTTATACCCCCACAATATATATATTTTTTTTTTATCTTTCCCACTAACTCTTTATGAAATATATATTTGGCAGTAGTTTGGATAGACTCATAATGTAACAATTTCCTAATTATCAATATTATTACATCCCTTGAAGTACGAGGACTAAATGTGTTCCCCACCCTCATTAATCAATACCACCTGACTTCAACGAGCTTACAGCTAACTACTTCCCTATCCCTTTTGATATTATCCTTTTTTAATTTTGCCCAAAATTTAAATGGGGAGAATTAACTTTATACAATCTTGGAATTAACACAAATCCAATAACCAATGAGAAGTACTGTCAGGTTTAGTGTCTTGTGGAAAATATTGATTTTGGCTAATTCAATCTTAAAGTCAAACACAAAGTCTTATATTTAGGGAATCACAATGAATATTTTCTAAGTTTTATAGAAACAAAACTTATGCATCCTTGAAAATTCTTGATAAGCTCTCAATTCTTTTAAAAATTGAGTTCTATGCTAGGTGATCCTTACTAAGTGCTTTACTAGTATGACTGTACCAGACTAATTCAAGATTAGACATTTAAACAAGCTTATTGTTTTGCCCAGAGGTAGATGACTGAATATTAGTTTTCCAGATAGCCCCTTCTTATTCCACTAAGATTAGTGCATGTTGCAAAAGACCAAGCAATCTACTTTGAATAATGTGGATATGTAAAAATAAATCATGAATATTCTTAGATGCATAAAAATATGATCTTATTTCTAAAATAACATACACAGGGATATGAACAGTATCCAAATGGCAACAAGAGAATAGAGAAAAATAAAACCCTCATAAATAACTGAAGAAATGGTGAAAGAGACTTCATAATTGCAAGCCACTCATACATTCATGCCTTTCTGGGGTAGTGAGGAGGCTGTGTGTGTGTGTGCCTTCAGATAAAATTTATCAAGAGCATTGAACAATTTCTATATTTTAGATTACAGAATTGTAAAAAAAATAAAATCAAACAAATATGTATAACAATGAAAAAGCTTTCAAAACAGAAATCTGATTTTTTCCAATCATAAAAGGCAATAAAAGAAAAACTGCAGCTGAATATCTTGACCTGTTAAAACAGTCACATGAAATACTTTTTCCCTGGACTGTTTGCCAGGTGGAAGTGTTTAAAATAAATGCAACAGGCACATGATGGGTTTTTTAGATGATATTCATGCAGACAAAGCCAGAGTCAACTGTGATGGTAGACACTACACAAATTCAGTGGTTACATTGCAGCAACACAGGCTGTATGCTACAAAGTTTTGGACGGCATCCAGCTTAATGTAATTCTAAATACAAAAAACTTTAATACATTTTTTGTTAGGCATCTTCACCTGGATAAAACTGAATCATCCTCATCATTATGACTACAGTAATGACTAATAAATACTAAGCTTAGGGAAATTAAATGCACTTAACTCAAGATTTTGTACAAACATTCATAAACTTTATCAGTTGTGCATAATATTTCAGCTTTTACTTCTTGCCTTTCTCCTGCTTGATGTTCAATTCCAAAATTTCATGTGTACAGAAAAGTTATATTCAGTATGAATAGCAACTAATTTTTCTCAACATAATAGTTATGTCTGAAAAGTTGTTAAAGTGCAATTTGTAGTTTTTGATATCCAAAAACTGTGTATATTCATGTAAATGACAACAGCAAATAAGAATGAAAGACTCACTTAAAATTTATAGACATTTAGTTTTATAAATTAAATGTTTTAAAGAACTCCTCTCAAAAGTGGGCCAAAACAATTCCTTGCCAGATTGACATTTTAGAGAAAAATAATGTGAAAAAGCAAAGTTTGAAAAATTACACATCTTGCACAAATAGCAATTGACTGTATTCTCTTTGCAATGGCTTTCAGGTAAGGAAGTAGGTAAAAGTCATCTGAAAGAGCTGTAAACTAAAACATTATTTTTATGAATACATTTTTCAAACTTCATAAAAAAAAATTAAAAAAAAATTAAAATTGTATAAATTACTGATTTTAAGTATTCAAAATTATGATTACTTCTATTTACTATAAAGTAGCAAGAACTGATCTAATCAGGTTTATTCTTAAAACAGCAAATTATAATTTTTCTCATTGTTAGATAGTTTCATTTACTTGTAGCAATTGTTTACAGCAAAGCAGTTAAATTTTAATTTTATATATATATATATATATATATATATATATATATAGTCCAGGTCTGCAAAGCATATATTCATTTTATTGGTATAGTTGTGAAAGTAATCAAAATAGGCTTGCTTTCTTTCATTTCCCAACAAGTGAAGTCCTTGTTTGTCATTCAATTTTAGAAAGAATAAATTCTGAATGGTTATTTCAAGGTATTTCAAAGTATTCCACAAGACTACAAAATTTAAAATAGAGAAATGTAATTGCATCTTAAAGAAAGACATGTCAGAAACTCCATCATAGCAGGAAAGAAGGTTTGTTTTCAGACACAAACAGAAAATTGCAGTTGTAATTGGAGAAAAAAAAAAAAAAAAAATTATATACTCAGCCAATGTCATGATTTTTTTTTTTATATCAATTAAACTAAGAAAACTTATGAGCCCATTGTCATGTAACAAAATGGTGAATAGATTAGCTGGAATGAAAGTTGAAGAGATTAGACAATTGTTGACTTGTTCATATTCAATTCTAATTTCAAAACAGAATTCAACAATCACTTAAGCTTTTAAACTTGCTAGGCTAACAATCATTTTAGTGTTTTTAAATCAACAAAATCATCAGGACTGCCTTAGGGAGAAAGAGAGAGAGAAACTTTGCATAATTTCTCATGCTTAACGCTAGTATTGTTACTCCTATTTAACCACTCACCAATGATCTCTATACTTGATTTTTGTACACTTGATTAAAAGTTTAGTCATTGAAGCAAAAGAAAAAGGTTGAAAATAAGAACTTTTGAAGTTATTTGTTTACATTAAAGATAAGAGATATGGTTATAAAAATAATTTAAATAATAAAAATTTACTCAGTATTTCAGTTAAAAGGTCAGGTACTTAGTTTCAAAGAACAGGCATTTCAAAATAATTTTAATATCCGAGTAGATAAAACAAATCTATTACTTGTGAATAAGTTGTGGCAATTACAAGTGAACAGTAAATTAGTTTTACATTTCATAATATAGTTTAATAACCAAAAACTCAACAGCTGTTTCTTAAAAAAAAAAAAAAAAAAAAAAAAAAAATAATCGAAGGAATGAAGTTTTTATGTGGTATAAATCAACACCTGTCTCTGTGCATGATTACAAATATAAACATTGGTGAATTAGATTTAGAAGAGGAGAGGCTTATACCTCACACAAGGTACATTAAAAATAGTATCTCTGATCTAATGAACAGAGCTTCTAGATTAGTGTTAGAATTCCTATTTTTCAATCGGAAAATGAAATCGAGATATAAAAAAAAGGATTTTTAAGGAGTCTGTCATTACTTTGTTGCTAAAATAATGTCCTTGAGGAGGGGGACGGTGTTTGATACATCTATATGGTTAGAACTGTCACAAGATTAGTTTATTTAAAGATACATTTTTTCTTAACCGAGACTGGTGGGGTAGTGTTATGCTGTGTAGTTCTGTTTTAACCACAGCTTCAGGTTTGAATTCCCAACTAGTATTGGTTACTTATGAAATGTAGGTTTTCAGTCTTAATTAAAGACTAATCTTTTGATTTATTTGATTAAA